ATGCGCTGAGACAGCTGCTTGTGTTCCTCACGCAATGTGTCCACTTTCGCTTTGGCTTCAGCAAACAGGGAGCGCGCCATGTCCGCGATGCCTGACTTGAAGAGGTCCACACGATCGGCCAGCTGCTTGGCCTCGTCAGGTGAGAGCTGCTCATCGTCGGTAATCGTAAAATAAAACAGTCTCCCACATCAAGATCAAACATCTGCGAGAAGCGCTTCTCGTCCAGCAAGTCCTCCAGGCAGAGCTTCGTGCCAGAGGCCGTATCCGACTGCGGGCCCGTGCTCGGCAGCTCGTCATGAAGGCGCCGAACGAGCTCGCCATGTTCTCCTTCGGCCTGCTCCAAGTCACTGCGCAGCACAAGCACCTGGTCCTTCTGCGCCGCGAGCTGAGCCTCCAGCATCTCGAACTTGCTGACCGCGCTCTCGAGCTTCTTCTCGATCGCACGAGCCTTCTGATGAGCCTTGTTGAGCAGCGCCTGCACCGAGACTGCCGCTGGGGCGGGCGCCGACAGTGCCGCAGCAGCGGTGCGGTGCGCAGCTGCACTCCGAGTGTCGCCAAGCTTGTCGTGTAGGGCCACCAACTGCAAGTACTCATCAGCGGTGAGCTGGGGAGCGCCAGCAGACGAGGGGGCACCAACCCCTCCTTTGCCTGAGCCAGCACTGCCCTTGTCGCCGATCTTCCCTGCGGAGCTGGGGGCGTCACCGAACATGGCAAGCGACTTGCCTGACGACCAGGCCGAGCCATACAGGACGGAGTCACTCTTGAGCTGACCACAATGTTTACAGAAGAAGAACCTGGCCTCATTCTTTTTGCGTCCGCATGTGCTGCAGGTCCATCTCTTGGAAGCGGTACTGAATCTAGGAGGGCCAGCACCACCAAGAGAAGTCCCCTGCGGGCCAGGGACCAAGGGAGGCCACACTTGTTGGTCACGCTTCGGGGGCGGACGGACAACAACGCCGTAGTGGGCCCTCCCTCCAGACGGAGGCAAAGCCCAGGAACGATGCCACGGAGCCCACGATACGCGTCCGTGTCCGCCAGTTCCTCCACCTGCCATCGCTCTGACTGAGTCGTGGTCAACGTGAGGCTCCAGTAGGAGCAGAAATGAAAGACTGCGGGTTGAGATCCCGCGAACTGAGTGAAAGTAAGCCACAAAGGCCCGCAACAGCTGTGTGCCGTTCTGAATCTAAGCTGCTGCAAGCACAGGCGAATGCCTGAGCCAGAACGGCTCCGACAGAAGTCAGAGCCATTGCAATTCGTGTCAAAATGACGCGCGCATGCCAGAACAACCACTCGCCGTCCTCGCACCCGCCAGGGCTGTCCTGTACATACGCATACACCTCTTCATCAGAACGTCCTGACGGAAATGCGTTGTGAACTCAACCGCGAACGTGATGACGAGAAATACCATCGCGCCTAATCATTGGAAAGTGGACCTACGTTATGAGGGCCAACAGAACTAAGGCTATGTGTTTTCGCAGATGTGTTTGACGAAACCACCCATATGATTTGGGATATCCCCCAAAACGGTGGACCTACACCAGGCAATGAGCTCACTGTGACTAGCGCTAAATAATGTGTTGTGCTTAATGGTGTGCCATTCGTGGACATCCACGCCTTGAAAAAACGACTTGGAAAAGCCGGCTTGCACGACAGTGAGATACTCAGATACTAGCTGGATCCGCGTAAAGACACACACGAGACTTACCAACATGTTATGCATCCTGCGTCTCCTCGGAGATGACGAACACCCGGACAACTGACGGATGGATGTTTCCAATTCGTCGATCGATCCGCTGTTTAGCCTGAACCCATCTTTGATGGTCCAATGGAAGCCGACCTGGAGGACACGCGATGTGATTGATACGAATTAGGCTTACGAGAGACCCAAGCAGATGCAGTTGAGAGTACCATATGCAATTTAGAAAGTCACATGCAGATGAAATGACCGAGCCCCCAAGGGGGCCAGGAAGCCGGTGAGGGGTGCGCTGGAATGGTGCGGAAGTGTGGGCCCTGGGACTCGGTACTTCGGTGCAGCTATGGGGCCACGACGCGTGTGAGGGGTGCGCCGGACCTGCGTGGAGAAGGCATGCGCGCCATGGCACTCGGGCCTCAGGTGGAGCTCCCTACGGGGCCACGAAGCGTGCAAGCGGCGGGCAGACACGGAGTGGAGAAGGCGTGCAGGCACCTTCGGTGGAGCTCCCTGTGGCGTCACAAAACAATGCGAGGGGCGCGCCGGAGCGATGTGGGGCAGGCATGCGGGGGCCCCCTGGCACTGGCGCCTTCGGTGGAGCTCTCAAGGGGCCGCGGATGGTGTGAGCGGTGCGCCGAAATGGCGCGGAGAAGGTACGCGGGTCCTGGCACTCGGGTCTCGGGGCCACGGAAGGTGTGAGGGGTGCGCCGCACCTGCGTGGAGAAGACACGCGGGCCCTGGTATTGGGGCCTAAGGTGGAGCCCCCTGTGGCGCCACGACACGTGAGAGGGGTGCACCGGAACGGTGTGGTAGAGGGCACGCGGGCCCTGGCACTGGCGCCTGAGCTGGAGCTCGCTCCCCACGGGGCCATCACACGTGTGAACGGTGCGCCGAGGTGGTGTGGAGAAGGCATGCGGGCGCTGGCACTGGCGCCCTAGGTGGAGCGCCCTGTGGGGCCACGACACGTGCGAGGGGTGTGCCGAAATAGTG